CTAACGGCTTCTTTCTAAGCTTTTAAGCTGCAGCGGACTCAAGGAGAGAGGACCTTGGAGTGTTTCCACCTCCAAAATGGTCTGAGCTTAGCCTTCTAAACTGCAGTTAGTACTCTCCTCCTGAGCGCAAGGCCTTTCAGATGCCAGTTGGGCTAGAGCCCAAGAAGGCAGATGGAACTGGAGGTTCAGCCTGGAGCTGACTCTGCACTCTTGGAACTGGGGCAGGAGGGAGTTCTAGGTTTGCTGGTCCTCGGGTGATAGTCCAGGTCTTAGTTTCACAAGAGTTGCAAGAGCCAGATTGGCTTTGTGTTACCTGCCTTGGAGAAGGAAGGTAGACCTTGGCACAGCAAGGGTGCTGACTCAGGGTCTCCTAGAGTTCTCTTCCTAGGAACCAGTCTGAATGCTGGATTCATCTACACTTTTGCTCCTTTTAAGCATTTACTGAATTCTCCCTAGTGCCAGACATGGTGGGGGATATGAAGATAAAAACCTATATTTTCAAGATGATCCTATCGTAAGGAAGGAAACAAAGAAAGAGATCAATTAAGATGTAGAATGAAAAGTACATGCTAGAACATACATTATTGATGAGGACAAAAATTGGTTCTGAAGGAGCAAAGAATCTTAGATACTACAATCATGACAATAGTTTGAGGCTCTCTGAAGCTCAACCTTACCTGACTGAGTTTTATTCCTTATTATTTAATTTCTCTCATTCAAGGGAATTAATTTTTTTCTCCTTGGAGGAAAGAATGAAAATAAAAAGTTGAAAAGCACAAGAAGAATGCATTGGAGTTGTGAGGTGTCATAGGAACGGCCCCTAGAGAGGACCGGTGGGGCCAGATAGGCTCCCTGAAAGATAAGACATCTGCACTCAGTCTTGAAGTAGAAGAAATTATCCAGAACAGATGGAAGAAGGATGCCTGTGCACAGGGAATAACGTGTGCAGACTGACAATGTTAGAAAGGTGCCTTTCACAGCCATCAAGAATGCAAACTACAATAAATGCTGGACAGGAAGTAAAGAAAAGGAACACTTTTACACTGTTGGTGGGATTGCAAATGAGTATAACCACTATGGAAATCAGTATGGAGGTTACTCGAAAGACTAGGCATGGAACCACCGTGAAACCCAGCAATATCACTCCTCATTATTTATCCTGAAGAATTGAATTCATCATAATACAGTGATACATGCATACCCATGTTTATGGCAGCACAATTTATAATAGCCAAATCATAGAAGTAGCCTAAGTGTCCCTCAATGGATGAATGGATAAAGAAAATGCGGTATATATACACATTTATTGAGCCATAAAGAAGAATGAAATTATGTCATTTGCAGGAAAATGGATGAAACTTGAGAACATTATGTTAAATGAAATAAGCCAAACTCAGAAAGTCAAAGTTCATATATTTTCTCTCATATGTGAAAGCTAGAGAGAAAAAAAGGAAAAGAAAGGTTGGAGGTTTGACCTCATGAAAATCAGAGGGAGATCAGTAGAGGAAAGGGACCAGTAGGGTGAGAGGCAGGAAGTTTAGAAAGCAGAAGTACTGGGGAATGATATTGACCAAACTCTATTGATATAAATTGTGTGCATATGCCAATATGTAACAACAAATCCCACCATTATGTACGACTATAAAGCACCAATAAAAAATATAGGAAAGAGCGTCTTTTAAGGAAAGGCAGTGATTCTGCAAGAAGTGAATTAGGAGGTTAGACTGGGGAGTGTGGATGGTGTGACCCTCTGGAGAGACTGAAGGTCCCCCTCAGTCCCTTCAAAAGGGTTGCACTTTATTCATAAGGAGTCAAAGAACCAGTGAAAAGCTTCAAGTAAAAGAGTTACCTACCCAGGTTTATGTTTTTAAAATATTCTGGGAAGAAAAGGGAAGGAATTATGGGTCAGCAGCACTCGTGAAAATAGATGTGAGGAGAGAGTAAAAGCTGGAACTCAAGCAAGACAACCACTGAGAAACCCTGGGCAGAGCCACACAGGGCCTCCTGGAGAGAACATGACAGTGGGAGGCCTGGGAACCTTGCCTTGTGACCAGATGGGCCAGTGGTCCAGATAAGACCATGTGTGGGCAGCCACCACCACCCATCACTGATGAAAAAAGAAAGAAGAAAGCCAGACTAATTAAATACTTGTTTACTCATGGTATCACATGGGGTTTTCCAAGAGAACTAAGATTACTTTCTTTTTTAAAAAAGAAAACTTACAAAATTTCAAGCGTATACAAAAATAGAGGAAAATAGTGCAATAAAGTACCAGGTAACAACAATTATTAACCGTTGACCAGTCTTGCTTCATCTGTAATCCCAATCTAGTTTTTCCATCCCTCCCACACCCTGGGTTATGAAATTCCAGTTACCCTTTCATTTCTTCTTGTCAATGGTACTAATGTATCCCTGAAAGATGCTCTTTTAAATACATAACTAACATCATCATATTTCAAAGTATTAGCAATAATTCTTAATCAGATGTTCACTTAATGTTCATGTTTTCCAGAAATGTGATTCAGATTTTCACATATATGTACATTATAGAGTACATATAGACTTGCATCTCCATCGCTATCTGAACTCACTGAGCTCCCTAATTATTGCTATAAGAGTTATAGTGATGCCTCAAATGCCTATGAAAAAAATCCCTACATAAGGTGACCTGAAAAGGACTTTCCTAAACCCCTCTGCTCCACTTCTGATGTTATATTTGTCATCTTTGTGATGCAAGGTACAGAATTGCCCACAAATAACAGTGCTCACTCTGGTTGCCTGAAGGATTAGCTAACTAGAACTGGCTCTTCCCCATCTCCCAGAGAGTGGAACTGTCCCTAAGTCACCTGCACACAGAGTCAGTGTTTGTTTTCACCTGACTGAAGTTTCAACTGAAATTTCTCACAAGGTCCTGAGACTCCAGGTATTGGGAAAGTGTCATTCCCCCCAAATCCCATAAAAAGCCGATGCCCAAATACAGAATGCCTGGGGCCCACCAACAAGCTTGTGTTCATGCTTCCCTATGTAGTATGCACTCAAGGACCAAGTCTTTCCAGTGTTATATCCAGCCACCTTGAGAGAGTGCCCCCTGCAGTAAATAATACTTAACTATGCCAGAATTTATCTAAATATACTTATAATATACTTGATGCAGGCTGTAAAGTACATGCAATCTATTCAGTAACAACCCATTGATGTAGATCAAAACCAGCTCTGAAAGGTAAAAAAATATACTGTAGAAAAATATAGATCTTGATCTCTGTCCCTGATTTGATGACCCTGCACCCTGACACTACCTCTGGAGGCTTTGTAGATCATGACCAGCTTTTTGGCCACAACTTAAGCATGGAAAAAATTTGTGAATCTTATTAAGCTTTATATGGAAGATTCTCACTGCTGATATAAATTTAGGTCAACTATTATAGATTTGCAATGCCCTAAGAGGGAATGTTGATTTGATCATTGCAGTGTGTGTAGATGGTCTTCAATTGTGAACATATGAATTTACAGGAGTAGAGCACTCAGGAAGTGGAGGTAATGGTCACACCCCAGAACTCCCAGTGTAGGGCCAGAGGTAAAGTAAATGTTGCCAGGAGAGGGCATATTGTTTCCCACATTACTCTCTGGAACTTTCATTTATGATCACCCTAATTCTTCACTGCACACACAGATAATTGAATTGTTAACTCAAGCTTTTTTTTTTCCTCCTTCTTTAAGGGTTTCATATCGTAAATGAACAGCTGCTCACTGCAAAAATGTGGCTGTGTTAATGCTTTACTATGATACAGTTGGACTGTAAAAGCTGTTTGGTTAAAATAGCTACTGGACCATTTCATTGTATCCTTAGGTACAAAATGAAACAGCTCCTTAACCATTCACAGTTCCTGGCCCCAAGGAATAAAACAAGAAATGCTCAGGAACTTTAAGCATGTCACAAGCAAATAAAATCCTTTGAATTCTGAGACTTCATAATGCAACTGGGACACAGCCACAGCACCCACCTATAGTGGGTGGCCTGTGACATCTTTCTGGCCAATGCTTGAGGTAGACCACATTCAGAAATGTCTTCATTTATGCTAACACTAAATAACCAAAATTAGCATGGGACAATGTGGCAGCCTGGCACGAGTTCCTGAAACATAGCTTAGGACAGTTCTTACTCTCAAGAGCAAAAGATCATTCAAGCCTCTGTTTTAATACCCATGAATTCATCCATAAGACTCACATTTCAAGACACTGTCAGGAAGGATATGTAAGAAATTCTAAATTTCCTTCAGGTTAACCTAAGTCTCACTTAACCATGTCTTATCACATGATCCAACCCTAAGTTTTCATGCATTGAAAATTAGTTTACTTGTAGCAGGGTACGGTGGTACATGCCTGTAATCCCAGCAGTTTGAGAGGGTGAGAGGCGGGAGGATCCCAAGTTCAAAGCCAGCCAGAGCAAAATCGAGGCACTAAGCAACTCAGTGAGACCCTGTCTCTAAATAAAATACAAAATAGGGATAGGGAGGTGGCTCAGTGCTCAAGTGCCCCTGAATTCAACCCTCAGTACCCGCCCTCAAAAAGAGAGTTACTTTACTTGTAAAGCTTGAAAATGCAAATTCCATAGCCCAAGCTCTTCTCTGTGACAGAGTAACTCTCTCCTCCCATAAACATCAGCCAGATGTTTATTCCACAGGTATTTAGCACATGCTTAACAAAATGCTACCCCAGCACTGTGCCTGAAAGTCCTGCAGCCCCAGGTGGATGAATCACTCACAGTTTGAAAACACAAATTGATAGGCAGTATTCCCCTTTGCTGGCACTGACGACGACTGTGTCTGTATATTACAATGTAAAATCCTATTAAGAAAATGCTACTTCCTAAAATCATTATTTTCTGAGACATAATGCTTTGATGGTGATGTTTTGAATTTCCTACCTTACATATGAATGTGTGTCTTATTATTTTGCTTTTTCCAAAGAAACCAATTATGACTTCTTGGCATTTATTGCAGATGAGCAAGAAAGTTCCGGAGCAATTATTTACACTGTGGAGCTGAAGCGCTACGGGGGGCCCCTTGGCATCACAATTTCAGGAACTGAAGAGCCATTTGATCCTATAATCATTTCAAGCCTCACTAAAGGGGGATTAGCTGAAAGGTAAAATTTGAAAGAACTGCTATAATTACCTGCATCTGAGAGGGTCTTCCTTCCTCCCAGCCACACAAAAACATGCTCCCCTCTCCTGTTTGTTTATCTGTTGACTTTTAAATCTGCACAGAGGATTGATTTCAGAGCTGGAGAACTCTCAGGAAGATCTCTGACTTGACTTTCAGGGGCATTTTGCCGGCAGTAAATGATGTCATGGGCTTAGCATTGATATCAATCTACAGAAATGTATCAACTGACCACAGTAGATTTATGTTGTGTTCATTTTGAAGAGACTCAAGTTCAGGGAGGTTAAAAGGCTTGTCCAATTCAATTCTGCAAACCTTTGCTGAGCCTCTGTTCCCTGACAGGGTCTGTGCCTAGCTGCCACGTTTTCCAGAGAGAATGAAACAGGCTTCATCTTCTAAGATTATGGGAACAAAGTGTAGTGACCCATCTGAACAGCATCCTATAGTGTGGAATGTCCACCTATTCCTTTGCCAATGATGCACACACCCCACCTGCTCTCTATCCTCTCCTGAACCACATTTCTTTCTGAGATGTGTTGTTGGGCATAGAACAAACCCTATAACTAGTTCTGTTCTTCAGGGACCCAGCTCAAGAATGCACACAGTGTTCATGCTGACACTCGAAGACACTGGCTTGCAAAATCAAAACAACATCATGTAATTTTGGAGCTTCAGATACCTTAGAGATCAGCTTGTCCAACATCTTCATCTGAAGGATGAGGATACTGACCCAGCTCATGAAGGGTTACTCTGATAGAATTTGATATTCTGATATTAATCCAGATGAAACCCAGTATTGCCAGGTGGCCTCCTGTCCTTCAGAACTCTGTTAGGGAGCCAACAAAGAAAAGACTGATATTTATCTGATACAGTGAAAAGTTTATGGTTTATGACCTAGGTCTTTTATAAACTAAAACTCTTTACGAGAGAGCTTTTTCTCCTGCCTCCCCCACTCCCGGGGGAAAAAAAAAAATCCTTAAGACTAGATGCAGTAGTAGACTTAAGTACCCCCTCCTAGCCCGTATGCCCCGTGTCACCTCTGTTGCCCCAGTTGCTGCTGCCCAGCACCTCTGCCACTGTCCTGGAAGCGAGCTATGCCCAGAACACCAACCACCAGCAGCTCTATGAGTTGGGTAATTCCTTCACTCACTGTATTTAGAGTGAGCCAGTCCAACCAGAGGCTGGCCCATGGAATTCAGACTCTCCAACCTTCATCCCAGAGTAAAGAGCTGAGTTTTTATACCGTCCCAGAACTTCTCTGCTGAGAGTTTATTCCTTCCCCACCCAGAGCTTCCCATGAAGACAGATGTGATGCACATCAGAATTGTAAATGCCAATTTACTAGTTCAGAATTGGATGTGGATGGGAAGAGAAAAGATCTAAGTTTATTAGTTTGTTGCCAATAATTTATTTTCTTAGTGTACATCTCAAGCAGTATACTCAAGCCTTGACATTTCTTCCTATTTAATCCTCAGGGTTTCCTTGTGAAATGATTGTCCCCATCATAGTGATGGAAAACTGGGGCCCAGAGAGGTTAACATAAGATACCATGTCACACTGGAGGTGACCCTGCTGGCAGGTGGCAGAGACAGATTTAAACATAGCACTAATTGATCCTTGCAATTTAGCCTTTTGCAACCTTTAGAATCGTTGACAGGGGAAGCTCTGCTGCGCCAGGGTCTGGTGTATGTCCCCATCTCCCTGAACATCACTTCTTATGAATTAATAAACACTTAAAATCTGTATAAAAAATGTTCCATGCAGCCAGGCATGGTGGCTCACACCTGTAATCCCAGCGGCTCAGGAGGCCAAGGCAGGAGGATTGCAAGTTCAAAGCCAGCCTCAGCAAAAGCAAGGGCTAGACAACTCAGTGAGACTCTGTCTCTAAATAAAATACAAAATAGGGCTGGGGATGTGGCTCAGTGGTCAAGTGCCCCTGAGTTCAATCCCCAATACCAAAAAAAAAAAAAAAAAAAGAATGTCCCATGTCACACATCACCACACTGATTGTCCAACATAAATCTTGGGAGGGAGGGGCCTTCTAATGGGATATTAAATGACCCAGCTTTCTTAGAGTTTAAAAATTATCCAAGTCCATTTTCAAAATAATTAAAATAATTTTACTGATTTTATTTGAAACTATAAAGTAGTTCACAGCAGATGCAGTTATCTTATAACATTACCCAGGAAAAAGTAAGGAGTGACCTCTGGAGACCCTTGTCAAGTTTTTATTGTTGCAAATAGATAAAGTATGCAGGGATTATTTCTACCTTCCCTGTTACTGTTTGATGTTTCAGAACTGGTGCAATCCACATAGGAGACAGGATCCTCGCCATCAACAGCAGCAGCTTGAAAGGGAAGCCTCTGAGTGAAGCCATCCATTTGCTACAGATGGCAGGAGAGACTGTCACCTTGAAAATTAAAAAACAAACAGATGGTGAGTGGGTCGAGAGCCTCAATTAAGGATCTCCAGTGTGTTTCCTTCCCTAAAAGAATGTGCCAATGTCTACATGTGTGTTTCTAAGGAAATGACTCTCCAGTGGCAGAGTATTTACGGATCTTTTTCATTTAAATTTGCTCTGACCCTTGACCTTCTTTCCTGTCTATAAAGCCCAGTCAGCATCCAGTCCCAAGAAGTTCACCATTCCCAGCCACTTGAGTGACCTGGGAGATGTGGAGGAGGACTCCTCTTCAATGCAAAAGCCCAGCAAACTCTCTGACATGTACACCACCGCGGTGCCCAGCGTGGACAGTGCCGTGGACTCGTGGGATGGGTCTGGAATAGAGGCCAGCTATGGGAATCAAGGTATGCCCTGCATTGTGGAACAGAGGATTTGTCACTGGGGAACCATATGTGTTTTCAAAGATCCACCCTCTGCTCTACAGCTTTGTTCAACCTGAGTCTGTCTCAGAGGCACCACATGAACACATTGAAAACCTCCACCCGTTTGGCCTTGCATTTCCTCCTCCTCAGTGCTGACAAGTTATGAACATTTATCAAACACTAATAGACCTCCATTAGATCTTCTCATGGCCAAATGTTCAATGCAGATCTTTTCCTGGTTGATGTGAGGCAAAACCATACAATGGAGTGGTTCCCTAAAGACAACCCCATTATCTCATTTTTTTAGCAAGCTTTCCACAAAGATGGATTGGGGGGTTCTGACACTATGCATAAAAGATCAGCCAATGATTTGTGACACCATTTATTCTGACCTATTCTCAGCTTTAAATAGAAACTTGTAAGGTTTTCCCTGAGTACTCAACATTAGAGAGTTGTAATGACAGTACATGAAAGTATGTAGTAAATTTTTCTTCACAGATGTCATCTTAACTGTCAGTCAAAGAGTAAAATGCATCAACAAACAAACAGCTTGGAGAACACATGTTCAGGCATGTGGGTGGCTTTACAGCTTGGTTAGCTGTACTTTAAGCAAAGTCTGTGTCTGGTTTGCTCTTGTCCTGGTTTTCCCAGCATTTTTCTCTCACCCTACCTTTGTTGTGTTGTTCTCTGTTAAGTTCTTTGATGGGTGAAAAAAAAAAATGGAAAGGAAACAATATTTCAAAGTTGTCAAGTTGCTGCCTATTGGAGTTTGGTAGAGAAAATATATCGAACACCTAAAATAGAATTGAGGCTTTCATTTATTTGGCAATTAATTTTTTCCAAGTCATAACACCTTGTGACAAGTTAGTTATGTCACTCAATAACAGACTGTTGAGAGCCACAGCCAAAGGGGCCCCAGCAAACTTCCAGCTGCCAGCAAACTTCCAGCTGCTGGCTGATGATTGGCTCACAGCGGCCCCAGCAACATCTAGCTGATTGGCTCCTCGGCCCCAGCAACATCTAGCTGATTGGCTCCTCTGCGGTGATGCTCATTGGGCTGTTTCCCTGCCCTTTCAGACCACGGAGCTGCTCATTGGGGGACTTTTTTGGCTCCGCCCACGTGACCCAGCCAATCGGCCTCAAGAGCAGGAGGATTGTGGGAGGTGGAGAGAAGCTGGTGTGGGAGAGAGAGGCTTGGGGAAAGCCGGTGGTGGCAGTTGAGGCTCTGAGGGTTTTTCCTGAGAGGCTATTTTGTTTGTCGTGTGTGGTTCTAAAAATAAAGTTAGTTTCTTTTGAAAAAAAAAAAAAAAAACGGGGTGAATTTGGATCTGATGGACCTTTTAGGATATCAAATAAAGGTCCCAACTCTCCTGTTGGTACTCAATAACAGACATTCTCATTGCCTGAAAATTGATGGGCCACCAAAGAACACTAGGTAAAAGACACAAGTCAATTTCTATTAGAATAGAGCCTGGGATTCATTGATGAATGTGTTTGGTTTTTGTTGATTTATTAATATGAAGACATTTTTGTAAGGAATCTGTTGACATTAGTAAGTTTCATCCCATCATGTGAGATGTAAGAACTAAAGTTATTCCAGTCCTTTCTCCTTAGGAAGAGGACCGTGATCAGCATACTAAATACAGGGCCTGTCTCTTATTAGTGAAAGATGAAGAAACATTTATTATTTATGAATCATTTCAAAAATTTGAATAGTGGTTATAATAGTAGTAAATTTGGCATTGACAAATTAGAACTCTTTATGAGGTTGAAGGAGCTAAGGGATAAGTAGAGATAATAATGATCAGAGTGGAATTGAAGTCCTCCAAGATACTGAAAAAAATTGTAGCTGCACCTTATGTTTGTAGAACACTTGGAATCTACTGAGCACTCACAGATCACTAAACTCAGGTGATTCTCAGACAAAGGCTTTGAGGTTAAAGGCTGGCATTGATACGGCAGGTTCAGTGTTAAGAGAGGATTTAGAGTCAACTAGGCTGATGTCCAGTGGAGCTCCTGGTGTTGTGTACAGCCTTGCTGTAGGCCAGCAGGTGGCATGACCTCGAGTGCCAGGTGACAAGTTCCTGCCACAGCCCTCCCATCCCCACACAGCTCTGACAGCTCAAAGGTCCTTGCTTGTATTGAGCTGAAATCCATCTGTCCCTGGCTTCTGCCTATTAGTCTGGGTTCTGCCTTCAAGATGATTCAGAAGGAGACTAAAGCCTCTTCCACTTGACAGCCCTTCGGGTACTTGAAGATTGCTATCACTTCTCTTTTGAGTCTTTCCATCACCAAGCAAAATAGCCTCCAGTCCTTTAACTATTCCTTGCCTAACCTACTTTTCAGTATCTTTATCATCCTGCGGTATATTCTTCTGATTATGTTCAAGTCTCTATACTTGGTAAAGTGTAGCACTCAGAAAGCAGAGTCGTACAAGTCGGACAGCCCAGGGCCCGGCAAACCTTCTTCAGTGATGCTAGTAGAGCCTGTCCAGGTGGCCTACCTCCACATAAGGGTTTTGGGGGGTGCGTATCACATCTGTCATTCACTTTTAGCTTACTGCTTACCAAGTTCTCAGAATCTGGATTTTATTTTCTTTCTTGTGATGAAAGTGAAATGAAGGGTTAAATGAGGTCTCTCCAGATTGTGGTGGTTGACTTTTTGCAAGCAAGGCATGAAAGTGTGCTTTTTTCCCTCCTATTGAATGGAGAGGGCCCCTGACCTCTCAGCAGGCTCTCTGTTCTTCCCAGGAAGACCTTTTACATCCTCACTGCTCCCTGTAAGTCACTATCACTGTCCCATTGCACCTTCCTGAGGCACATCTTCCTCCTTGGGCCCAGAATCCATGTCTTTGCAGCGATGTTCCTTATTGTTCTCCACTGCTTCTCCAGCATGTCACACTTCATTCATTCAATGAGTATGTAATGAGTGGCACAATATAAGGTCAATGTATAATGTGTACACACTGTAGGACAACAGGGCCAGGGTCTTTGTTCTCATAGAAGAGGTTACCCAGCTGAAGGGCCAGATGGTTAACAAATTAAAAACAAAGAGCAACAGCACTAAACATTACTTAGTTAATGAAAAGGAAAGTAGGTTGGATTGATCAGAGCTGGTGGGGAAAGAAGGAATATGTTTAAGGAAGTCCCACCGTGGATGACCCTCAATGATATATTGTGTAGTTCTAGGATGCAGACTTTCCCCAGTCTGCCTCTGGAGAGCTTCCATTCCCCGTTCTCTAGCTCCCTTCTACGTCTCCTGCTCTGCTGCCTTATCCAAACCTTGTGTTTTGGGCTCTTTATGTGTTAAGTACTCCTTCTTTGAGAAATCCACGATTGCTGTACCTGGATATATAGCAAAGGTCAGCAGCAGGAGACTGAGAAACCTTGACTGTGCTGTTCTCATAGACAGTGTAGCTCTAATCCTTGGTGCTACTCAAGTGTCATGGTACTGTCTGATTTTTCTCTCTTTTGAATTCATTTTGAGCATTTGTATTTTCTCAGGGGGAAAAAGAATTACAACAACTATTTTATCCAGATTTTCAGATGTAGTTACAAATAAGTAATATATTAATTCCTTTTATTTTCTCAGTTTCTAAAATTGTATCCCCAGTATTGTTCTTAATTGGTGTATTTGTGTTTTTATGGTTTCCATGATTAGATTAGGAATCATTTGTCTTATTTGGCATTTTTTTCTAGAATATTGACAGTTGCATTTATTTATTAGTTCCTTTCTGGGTCTTTTTTACATAAAAGTTTGCTTTTAATTTAAATTTCATTCCGTTTCTCTTCAATTTTGTTCCTTTTCTGACTTGAATTGGGTGCATAATTAATTTGTTTCCATACCTCCTTGTAGTTTCCATACAGTTGACAAAAGAAGATAAAAGATGCCAACTTGTACAGCTGGAGCCCAACTTTCTCTAAACATAGTTAAGGATAAGCCTGCTGCACACAGAGAACAGCCCAGATGCTGGGATTTATTTTTCCTTCCACTTACTCTCTGATCTCTACATGCTCATGTTTTATCTCTTTTTATCATTTTCTCTTGCACAATTTCCCCTGAGCTCTTATATTTCTGCTTTGATCCATTGTTCTGTAGAATGATGGACTTGCTTTGTATTTTTTTTTAATTTGGTGGTGATCTATTTGGTCATATTTATCATTTGTTCCATGCCAGGCTTTTTCTCTTGAGCATTCTAACTGTTTGATGTTAACTTGGCATACCTCATATGACAGTGATTTTTCATTTCTGCCCATCATTTTATCCAGTGAGTTCCTCCTCAGCTGAAGCTTGGTGGAGGTTCTGAGGAAGAGGAGGCCAGGTCGTGCTCCAGGCTAGCAAAGCTTGGCATTTCACGGTGTGGCACTTGTGAATGAGCCCCTCTGCAGCTGGGAGCAAGCGGTGCTGATGTGGCTCACAGGGCAGGACTCCTAACTGCCGCCTGGCAGATCATTTCCTGAAGGTTGCAGCTTGTGTGAAGGTGCTGCCTCTCAGCCCACCTCCCTGACTTGAGCCTGGTGTCGAATGGGGTCGAGGGCACTTCCTGCCACCAGTCCATGTGATACACTCTAGTGTCCCAATCCACGGGTTGCTGTTGGCCTGGTGTTGTGGCCTCTGGCTGGGCCCCCTCTGCAATCTCTGACCCACCCGTGTCATCTCTCAGCTTCCTGCCACCACCGCCCCAGCACTTCTCCCCAGTGACTCACTACATTTGGCCACTTTTCTTATGTATTATGGTTTCTTATGTATTATGAGAAATGTTCTTATTGTGTTGAACATAGAATATGGATTCAATTATTTGTCAGCTCTATTTATTTTGAGGTGATTTCCAAAAGGAGGTAGAATGATCTTTGCTCTGCCATTTGAATAGCAGAGCTCATCTAAATGCTGAATATTTATTTCTTGGCAAGGACAATTACAAATAGTTACACAAATGTAAGATCCGATTTTCTCGTTCTTAATAAAAATGCATCTTTGGGAAA